CTAGAGATCATCTCTAAGCATGTGGAGGAAAAGAAGGTTATCAGTAGTCAGCATGGATTCACCAAGAGTATTAGCCTTCTATGCTGGTGTGACTGGCTGGGTACACGAGGGGAAAGCAGTGGATGTTGTCTACCTCAACCTCAGTAAAGCTTTTGACACTGCCTTCCAGTGGACAGTGAGGTAGATTGAGAACCGGCTGAATAACAGAGCTCAGAGGGCTGTGATCAGCAGCACAGTCTAGTTTGAGTGCTGTAGCGCACAGTGTTCCCCAGAGGTCAGTACTGGGTTCAGTCTAGTTCAACATATTCATCCGTGACCTGGAAGAAGGGATGGAGTGGACCCTTAGCAAATTAGCCAATGATACAAAACTGGGAGGAGTGGCTGGCAATCCAGAAGGCTGTGCAGCCATTCAGCGAGACCTGGACAGGCTAGAGAGTTGGGCAGAGGGGAACCTAGTGGAGTTCAATAAAACCAAATGCAGAGTCCTGAATCTGAGGAGCAATAACCCATGCACCAGTACAGGTTGCTGCTCCACAGAGAAGGACCTGTGAGTCCTGGTGGACAACAGGTTAACCATGAGGCATCAGTGTGTTCTTGTAGCCAAGAAGGCCAATGGTATCCTTGGGCGCATTAAAAAGAGTGTAGCCAGAAGTTCAAGGGAGGTTGTCCTCCCTCTCTATTCTGACCTGGTGAGGCCACATCTGGAGTATTGTGTCCAGTTCTGGGCTCCCCAGTTCAAGAGAGACAAGGAATTACTGGAGACAGTCCAAGACAGAGATCTACAAAGATGATTAGGGGACAAGAACATCTCTGTGACAAGAAAAGGCTGTGAGAATTGGGGCTGTTTAGCCTGAAGAAAAGAATGACAGGGCATCTTACCAATGTTTGTAAATATCTAAAAGCTGGGTGTCAAGAAGCTGGGACCAATCTCTTTTCAGGTGTGTCCAGCAATAGGACAAGTGGAAATGGACACAGACCAGAACGCAGGAAGTCCACATAAACATAATGAAAAACTTCTTTCCTGTGAGGGTGATGGAGACCTGGACCAGGCTGCCTGGAGAGGTTGTTGTGCCTTTTTCTCTGGAGACGTTCAAAACCCACCTGGGTGCATTTCTGTGAAACCTACTTGTAGGTGACCCTGCTTGAGAAAGGGGGTTGGAGGAGGTGATCTCCAGAGGTCTTTTTCAACCCCTTCCATTCTGAGAATCTGTGATTCTGTGATCCAGGAAAAAAATTCAGGTTGATGAAGGACAAGATGATTTGGAGGAGTCAGCAACAATACAAGAAGGAGAAATTGTACTTAACCAATATAATAGACTCTGCAGTGAAATGACTGGCTTGGTGAAGGAGGGGAAAGCAGTGGATGTTGTTTACCTTGATCTTAGGAAAGCTTTCAGTCGTGTCTCCCATAATATTCTCATAGACAAATAGGTTATGTATGGGTTAAAAGCATGGACAACAAGTTGGACTGAAAACTGGATGAACTGCTGGTCTCAAAGGGTTGTGGTCAACAGCATGAAGTCCAGCAGGAGGCTATTACTATCTTAGGGATCAAGTATGGGTCTGATGTGGTTTTAGATATTCACAAATAACCATGATGGTGGAAGATAGTGCACCCTCAGTGAGCCTGCAGATGACACAAAACTGGGAGGAATTGTTGTTCTACCATTCAGAAGAATCCCAACAGGATGCAGAACTAGGCAGATAGGAACCTCAAGAAGTACAATAAAGGAAAATGCAAAGTCCTGCATATTGAGAAAAGTAAGACCAATCCAACTAGGATGCAAAGAAACAGAAGGACTTGAAGAACAGTTGGCAGAAGGACTTGAAGGTCCTGCCAACAAGGTAAATGAGAGCCAGCAAAGTGCCCTTGTAGCAAAGAAGGCCAAAAGCTCGCTGGACTGCATTAGAAGGAGTGTTTCCAGCAGGCTGAGTGGTATTTAACACTGATGAGGCCACAACTGGAGTGCTGGAGAGCATCCCTCCATAGAGAGCACTATGGGGAGTTTAGCAGATCCCCATAGAAAAAGAGACGATGATACCAAACAAAATAAACATATGAAGAATTTGTGCATCACAGACTCATTCTTCTAGAGCATGAAAATATTAAAGATATAAATAATTTTAGATCCTGAATAGTCCTGATATGTAAGGAAAAAAATCTAATTGACAGTTACTGTGTTTCGGACAGCTGATTCTTGACATTCTAAAGAAAATATCATACCTCAAATCTCTAGAAATTTATGAAAAATGTATCTGGAATGACACAAAATGAGTTAAAAGGGCTCATACAATCCATATTGATCCATATTCATTGTCACCAAGTATGGGCAATGTTTCAGTAAGAGAGTTGTATTATCTTAATCTACCATAGAAGTGATACTGTCAGTGCTATTTTTAATTTATGGCAATTTCTGTGCGGTTTGATTATCCAGCCATAAAAAAGCAGAGGGAGACAAAAGACATCAAAGAAGGGGTGTCACCTGACACTGAAATGAAAGTACAAATGTTTTTGTATGACTATTCATCACTGTGTGGAGTAGGTATCACAGTGGTTGAAGGGGACTGAACCACACAACACAAACTGACTTCCTGAAAAGCCTGAAGGTGAAACATAACCCACCTCCTCAAAACATCATCTTGTGCATCCTGAAGAAGACATTTGATGCTGACAATGATTCAAGGGTATGGGGCGATCTCTATATGCTTTGTCAGTTTTTCTTGCACTCAAATATGGATGTCAGGTTCAAGACCTTTTTTTTTTTTTTTAACATATATTTATTGACACCAGTTCAGCAGTTAGCTTTCTACCTGCCACAGTTTAGAATTTTCCACCTAAGTTACTCATTGTGTCCTTTTTGTATCCATTACAGAGAAACAAGGAGTTCTAAGAAGAAATCTGTCATGTCCCACAGTATTTTAGACAGACAACATAGCTCAATCAATTGCACTTGGGACATGACTGTCTCTCCACAACATTTGGATGATTACCGCAAGTGCAGCTCCTGGAAGACAGATGAGGTTGGAAGGCTCTACAGAGGGATCTGGACAGGCTGGATCAATGAGCCAAGACTAATTGCATAAGGTTCAACAAGACCAAGTGTCAGGTCCTGCATTTGGATCACAATAACCCCTTGCAATGCTACAGGTTTGGGGATGCATGGCTTGAAACTGCACGGTGGAAAAGGATCTGGGGGAGTTGGTTGACACTGAATATGAGCCAACATGTGCACAGGTGGCCAAGAAAGCCAACGGTACCCTGGTTTGTATCAGAAATAGTGTGGCCAGTAGGACTAGGGAAGTGATTGTTCCCATGTACTCAGTCCTGATGAAGCTGCACTTTGACTCGTGTTCGGTTTTGGGTCCTTCACAAAGAGAAAGACACTGAAGTACTGGAGCACATCCAAAGAAGGGCAACGAAGCTGGTGAAGGGTTTAGAGAACAAGTCTTACAATGAGCAGCTGGAGAAGGGTATCAGTCTCTTTTCCCAAGTAACAAGCAATAGGATAAGAGGAAATGGCCTCAAGTTACACCAGGGGACGTTTAGATTGGATATTAAGAAAAATCCCTTCACCAAAAGTTTTTTTTAGCATTGGAACAGGCTGCCCAGGGGAGACGTGGAGTCATCATCTGTGGAGGTATTTAAAAGACATGTAGAGGTGGCACTTAGGGACATGGTTTACTGGTGGATTTAGCAGTGCTGTATTAATGGTTGGACTTGATCTTACAGGCCTTTTCCAACCTAAATATTTGTATGAACCTCAAAGAGCACTTCAAGGAGCACTTTCTGAGTTTCTGACACTATTAATTTATCTCACTCTCATAGGAAATTAAATTAATACATTAAGTCTTAAACACTTTCATGGGCTATAGATTGCTGTGGGACATGGGAGCTGCGAAGTCTCTTTTGCCCCTAAACTCTAAGGAGGTCTTAGAGCTTGCCTAAAGTAACTAATAGCTTCAAGGTAGAGAGCAGGGCCTGTCCACTCTTAGGCCATTTCCAGCAGTGGCCTCTTCATGTCAGGGTCAGAGGCTAGAGGTCCCACTCTGACCTCCATTTTTGTGTATGTTTGTTAACCCTAACTGCCAACTTTCAATACCATTTGGACGGATGAGCACACTAACAGTTTTGCACCCATTCCTCTTGCTGTCCCTTTTATTTGGGTAGATCATTCCTATACTAGCCTTATCATCTTCTTGTGAATGTAATATTTTTTTATTTTTTTCTGGATTTTAATAAATTTCCCTTCCTTCCTGCCCTCTTCCATCTCGATAGCAGTTAGAGAGCAGCATTAAATCATATTGCCTTCGTATACCACCTGTGCTGTCTATACCCATGTCTTCTTTTTTTCCCTATAAAGACATTAATGCTACCTTAGCTTACAATTACTGCCTCAGTGTAAGATAACTGTTTTGTTTAAACACTGTCTAGGGGAGAAGTGCTCATACATTTACCCTATCAAAAACATGATAAAGAATTCCCGAGGCACCAAATGACCCTCAGCAGTGGCCCATCCAGAAAGACAACAACTCCAAAATCCCAGATTAAGCTTATACCTCTTCTTCCTGGGCAATGAAATATATTTCAAAGTGAAAAACAACAACAATAACAACAACAAAACAAAACCCACAACAAACCCATGCAACAACAACAACCAAAAAAAAAAAAAAACAAACAAAAACAAACCAAGCAAACAACAGAACACTTCTGCAACTCTGAAGAGTTTTACTAATTGCTGCAGAATAAAATTTAAACAACTTTTGCATTTTCATTAGACTAAAATCCAAGCCTTCCCAGAGCAATATTATAATCCTTTATTATAATTCCATCCCAAGCAGGTTCAAATCGCCTCACCGGGCACAGCTTCAGGTCCTTATTTTAGTGTCTACGTGATTTCTTCATATGGCATATAAGGTATATGACTCTCTCATAAGCAACACTATACCATAAAACGGAAGGAAAAGGCAGTTTTTGTAACTGAGTATATCACTGTGTTGAGAACTTGGAGTAGCAACGGACAAGCTTGTATTTGGAACTGGGATTACTTTTTCAGTTGAGCCAGGTAAGTTCCACTTGTTTTAGAAGTAGTTTATTTCTTAAGTTTGTGGTGGGGTGGACAAAGGTATTGTGTGATGTGACACCATAACGAGAAATTTCTACTGTCTCAGATCTCTTGAACATGTATTCTCCAAAAAGATGCTTGAATCCTCAGCTCATCTTTAAAAAAAAAAAAAAAAAAGCTTTTCAGGAACAACAAAGATAGTTTCCTAGCTATGTGCAGCCGCACTACTCCACAGACCTTCACCTCCTCCTGTAGCCACACTGCTAAATGTAAGACTGTTGTTTATACCCAGTGGGGGTGATGTCTTAGCCCAGCTTCAGTATGAGCTGGAAGTAGTTGCTTGCTTTTATGTGACACTAAGGTGTGTGGAAAGGAAATAGAAGATATTTCAGGAGAGAGTAGAAGAGTTTCAGGACAAAGTTGTTCCCATGGAAAGACAGGGCATTTTATTTTTTTGCTGCAACTGCTTGAAATGTAAGCAACCTTTTTATATTTAGAAATTACATTCTTCTGAACACCATCTTTATAAGGGTGGACCATCTTCCCCAGATTTTGTGTGACAGCATGAAAGCTGGGGAAATGGGTGAGTTTGTTGGATTGATTTCTATTGTTCTAAAATATTCAGTTGTGTATCACCACCTGAATACACACACTTTCCAGACAGATATGGGACTCTCTTAGGTGCTAGCTTACATCTGCAAGCACCATACAGCTATACAACTGTATTTAAATCTTTAGAGCATCTTACATGCCTGTTTTGGGGTAGATGAATGCAGCTCCAGTTACTATGGGAACAGGGAATCCAACGATACTATTTTGAAAACATCTTTTGCAAAAGTAGGACAGCAAGATACTGCCGGCTTCCATCAGCCCAAGCTCAATTTGTATTAACACAAACTTGCCAGTTAACAGTACAAATCTGGTCTACCATGAACTATCAACCAACAAAAGGTGTCAAGATCTGAAAGTCTAAGTAATAGTATTGTCTTTTCAGGCAAAGATAGGTGAGGTTTGGTTTCTACTCAGGAAGTATCTTCCATGTTTTTTAAAACAAACTGAACTTCAGACCTGTTATATCAGGAATTGTTGTCCCATGCCTCCTTCAAAAAAGAGAAGAAAAAAATTCTCTCTTTCAACATTAGAATTCAGAAACTATCTAAGACAAGAATAGATTTTCCAGGTTTTTAGAATACTGGTACCCTGACTCTTCTCAGGTTTTTTTTGTTTTTTTGTTTGTTTGTTTGGGGTTTTGTTTGTTTGTTTTTTTCCCTGTTGTTTGCTTGTTTGTTGGGCTTTTTAATTTCCATAGAATATATTCAAAAAGACTTAAAACAACTAGAGAATACCACAGGAGCTGGGCTTCATGTGAACCTCCAAGCGCAGAAGACACAGAAAACATCCTTTTATCACTATGTAGTTTTTGACACATCTCCTGAGAATTCAGTAATAGCTAAGGGATGACTTGGTTCAGTCCCTGTATACTTCTCATTGGAGGAAGCCAAGATCCGCAAAAGGATAGAATAGATAGCAAATTCTGTGATTCTTGTAAGATTAAAAGAAAAAAAAAAGTATGACTTTTTGCATAAGTAGATTAACTGCTTTTTTTGTGCACAATACAAATACAACAGCTACACGCACAGTGCAAGGATGTTCTAAGGATCTACAAAAGATCTGTTGCTTTCATAAGGCACTGACAGAGAGAAGACAGAATAAATGGTGGGTTTGGAAAGGCACTAAACTCCTTTGTTAGGCATCCCAGTGTTGTTCTTTAGGATGGTTCAGTATTATGTAGTGAGATGGTCTCATGACTTGGAAATCTCACCAGAGCTCATGTAACACTATTAACTTCTTAGGAGAAGTTTATATGTCTGGGTCAAGTTCCTCATAGAAATATTACAGAAAGGATGATTTATTCCCTATCTAATTAGAAGACAGATAAGAAGTTGCAATGACAATCCTGCCTTTATACTCCCTTTCTGTCTTTGGGAAACATAAGGAAGAAATAAACACAGAAAGACACAGCTGTCAGGAAGTAGATGTGGCTAGATTATACCTGAACAAAAGATGATTTAACTCTCAGAAGAGTATGCAGAAAGTAAAGTAATACAAAAATGATTCGTCTTTTTCAGAAAGTCAAGAAGAATCTGCCCCAGAAGTTATTTTGCTTAAATCAAAGGAACCTAAACAATATGACAACAAACTGAATGTGGCTTGTTTGGCAAGGACTTTCTACTCTAAGAACATCAGCCTTGATGTGCCCAAGAGTGAAATTGTTTATGATTTGAAGGCACCTCTTGTCACATCTGCGGGGCTGTATAGTACCATGAAGGTAGCTGAAGTGGAACTAGATGCAGATGTGACCTGCAAGGCTACACACAATGGGAAGAAGACTACAGTCAGCATAAGAAGACTGCCAGGTACAGTGTTGTAGTCCAAACACAATGTGATTCTGGGTGAGACAGGTTCCATGATTTTTTCCTGCTCTTTGAGAACCTAGTAGGAACAAGTAACTACAGTCAGAAAGATATTTAGGTGCTTAGTTAGGTGAAGACAAGATATGTAGAAGTTTCTAGCACACATGTCCTTAGTTCAACTACTTAAGCCCACGAAGTTTTCAAGAAAGAGAGAGAGAGAAAGAAAGAAAAGAAAAGAAAGAAAAGAAAGAAAAGAAAGAAAAGAAAGAAAAGAAAGAAAAGAAAGAAAAGAAAGAAAAGAAAGAAAAGAAAGAAAAGAAAGAAAGAGTCCCTAACCCCCTACCTCCCTTCAAAACAACCTCTAATATAAGAAGGGACACAAGTATACATGCCTGCTAGAAGAAAGCTTGAAATAACTTTTATGAAAACACAAAATAAAAGAAAGTGTATGTGAAGTTTTTCCTCCCCCAGTCTTTTGGTTATTTTTTGATAATTTTAAAAATTATGCTTTTCCTACAAAAAAAGTTCATTCCAAAAGGGAGAGAAAATAAAACTCAAGGATCCTGTTTTGTTGATTATTTTTTTCCCCTGCAATCACATGTAAAAAGTGAATTTTTCTCTTCAAGTTACTCCCAGAATTAATGATCTGTCATCTGATTCTCCAATAATATTCACCTACTGCTCTGAAAAGAGCTATCGGTATGTTTTGTGTAACTTATGTAATTTATGTTTTATATAGTTTGGGTGAAATTTATAGTGTCTCTCAATCATTTAACAGAAAAGAAAATTAAAGAATTCAAAACCGTTAATGCTTGCAACATTGCAGATGCCTCTACAAAAGGTTAGTTGCCTAAAGGAACAATAGAGCATGGTTACTTCATTGGGGATTCAGTAACAATACATGAAAATGTATTCTCTTTGGTACAGAAATGTCCGAATTGTAGCTACTTATTAAGCAATAAGCTTCACTTTTTGTGGACTCAGTATGTAAACACAAAAAAGTGGCTTTCTCAGGTATGGAAATGTCAGAATTGGAAATACTAATCAAGAAAAAAACCTGCTGTTTCAGACTAACAGACTAAATAACTGACAAATTACCATGGGACAAAACAGCAATGGGAAGTACATTCCAAACTGGGCAGGCATCTCCTCTTTGCTGCATTCAATGCATTCCTTTGCCAGCTTTTCCTTTGTTCCTGCTTCCCTCATCCATCTATGACATGGATTTTCATGCTTTCTTTCTTTCTTCTTTTTTTTTTTTTTTTTCTCTGTTGGAGAGGGGACGATAATATCAAGACTACACTTTTTTCTCTCTTCTTCTTTTTAAAGCAGATCTCAAAATGAAGAAAGTAAATATGCTGTTCGTGGCTGTTTTGGGTTTAAGAATCCTGCTGGCAAAAACCATCACCTTTAACACAATCATGAGTATCAAGCTGTTTCTTTTCTGAGGTAGGAAGCACATCATTCAGTCCCTGGGAACACAGGTGACAAGTTGGCTTTGCACCCTTTTGTAACCCCACAAATCATGACATCAGTTCAGCTGTTCCTGTTTCCACTGGATAAATTAATGTAATCCGTAAATTGCACTTCATCCCCAAATTGCCTTTGCATCAGGCTAGTCCAGAATACCTGAGGTTCTATCAGAAAACTTCTGCTGATTATTTCAAGTGGCAGAGTATAAAGTCTGGATAAATGTCCAGATCAGCAGTAACTATAAAAGAAAAATTCTAAAAGCCAACAAATGTGAAAAGGGGGACAGAAAAAGGAGAAAAAGGGAGAATTCTGAAGATCAGGTAGCCAAAATGACACACAGACACACACGCACAAAAAAATATCCAGTGCATTCCAGATGAACAGAAACTCAGCACCACTGCATTAAATCTGAAGAAGAATGTAAAACAAACATTGTTTGCTCTTTCAGGTACTGGATAAGGGAGCCAGTGATGGGCTGAAGAAGGGCAGGAAAGAACACACAGCAAGATAATTTAAACACCATGGGTCAGCTTTGCTACCAAGAAACATCTAAAGAATCAACAAACCCACCAGTTCCTGTAGATCCGATTCCCTTTACTTCATCAAAGCGTTCAGTAGTTAACACCATCTAGAACCCTTCATGGCAGCTAGTACTGCTGAACTCTTGTCTAGCTTAGTTTCATTAACTGTTAGAACATTTTTTTTTATTTCTTATTTCCATAACAGACTTCCCTCATTCCTTTGCTAAGCAGGAATAGTTAGCTCTTCTACTCCCATATCCGTTGCATTGAAGCATCCAAATTGGTTAAATAGTTTCAAAAACTTAAAATTGAATTTTATACTTACTATGCTTTAGAAAGATAAACTGTGGGTATATTACATTATTGTCTGGAGAAGTAATGATTTTCTTCTTAGAGGTCCCAGGCACAGAGTGAGCATTGTATAATTTTAATTTTTAGAAGCTTTTCTGAGTATTTTCTGAGAATTTTTCTAGCACATGTAAGTAGATCTCCATTGGACCCCAAGCAACTTACTTCGGACAGGTATACAGTAGTATTTTCATTTCCATCTCTTCTTTAAAATATTTTCCTCTTTTCTTAAGTATATTGTACCTTCATTTTAGGTTTCCTTAATGTATACCAAAATAAAATTTTATTATGCTTGGTTTGAATCGTTTGCACTTTCTTCTGATAGCTGGGTGAAAATTCTTGAAATTCCACTGTCCTATCCAGTGACCGTTGAGAACTAGAAAACCACCTGTAACAGCCTAGATTTCCTTTTTCTTAAATTTATCTTTCTTGGGCTTTCCACAGGGAAAAAGATGGAGACCCCTTGACACATTTATTTGTTTTAAAGGAATTTTAATTATTCATGCCCCTTTCAAATTACTCAGGCTCAAGACTGTGTATCATAACAAAAAGAGGCATGGGTCTAAAGAGAAGACAGGTAAGACAAGGGGCAATATGAGTATTAATGCACAGACCTCAGAAAGTGAGAGAACAGGCTGCTGATTTTTCACCCAGCAATACTAGGAAGGAGCCAACAGGAAAGAAACACTGTGGGGTGTTTTGATAGATAAACTAGCCGTTTAATTGGCAGTTAAAGAAAACTTTAATACTGACTTTTGTCTCATAAGCTGCATGCTGTGGTTAAAACACATGACTAAATCACCCTATGCAGAACAAATTCCCCCTTGCTTTTAAAAAACGTGTTAACCACTTCCTGGGGGGTAGGGCCCACAACAGTTTTCAGATGCTGACTGAACTACTGATGTCTCCAAAACGGCCCCCAGAAGAGAGCACCGCAAAATCTGTTTAAACAACCTTGACAAGTTTAGCTGTTCAAGCTCTCACTCCTGTCCAACATATGTGACATTTCTGTGGTGAAACCACTGCCTCTAGGTCCTGAAGCTCTGTGGTCCCAGGAGCACACAGTGTGGAAAACCATGGTCATATTTTTTTGATTCCCAGGAATCCCAAAGACCAAATGATCATGTGGAGCCAGCTAGACTGTAAATGTCCCTTCAAACAGCCTCCTTTCTGTCCCAGTTAAGCACGCCATACTCTACTTGTGCAGTCTCTGTGACTCAGCCTCACAAGAAGACCAGGCTAGACTGTTCTTACAGCACCCAGCTTCTACTGCATTGCTTCCTTTCCACTGTGGCTGCTGACCCTGAGTTAATTTCTCTGTAGGTAGTGCCCAGCACTCTAGTCCCCTTCTGTCCCCAAACATGGTGCTGTCCCCAGCACCTGTTTAACATTCTCCTGCAAGTGAGACCAAATTGGCCCATGTTAACATAGAGCATGCAGAAGCAGAGAGCTGTCCTGCAGCATCTTTGGGTTGTCACTAGAGCCCCAGTAGCTCTGCAGCAGGGTCTTTGAATGGTGTGGATGTTACACACCTCATGCCATAGGCAGCTTCTCCTAATGACTGTTTCTCACAGGGGAAAAAGCTGATCCTTTCTGCTCCTGTGGGGCAGGTGGAAACTCAGAGGGTTGTGGGATGAAATATGCAGCTAAAAGCATCTGCCCGTAAGAAGCTGTCTTTGAGTGGTACGGCGATATTGCCAAAGGGACACTTCGTTCCAAGCTTTTCCATGTTGGCATTGACTTTCTTTAACAGAAAACCTTGCCTTCTGAATATGGAAGGAAAGACATGAGGTTTCAACTTATCACATATATTCGCTCATCTTCCTTGTAGTCCAACAGCAGAACAGTCTATAGGTGCAATGATATGCCAGATGAGGAAATAGAATCAGTGAGCAGCAAAATTTATGCAGAGTAATACTATACTTTGTCCCAATCCAAAAAGGTGCCTAAATTGGCACTGGCCTCCTTGCAAGACCTTCAGAAATGGCTGCATTCCATAAATACCAAACATCAGAGTTCGGCAATGACTGCCAACTTGTTTTATTTCCTCTCAAACTCCACAGACCAGATATTTCTCAAGAGAACAAAGAACAGCAGAGCAGCTTCTGGGATGGGCCTGGAGCTTTGTGACTGTCTGGTACCTGTGGGGTGATCCTTGAGACCTGGGAAAAAAAGAGTGAGGTGAAGGCACTCCACAAGAAAAAATATAAACAGAGATTTAAAAGGACAGGCCTCCAGCAGTACTTTGAGAAGGACAGTAGTTCGGCTGGGAGGAAAGGATTTGTATGTGCTGGTAGTGAGTTCTCTCTCCAGGAGGGGTTACTTCTGTTCACTTATTTAATAGTTGAGCCTCAGCAGCTGCTGTGTTCCAGAAAGGTGGCTAACTTTCTTCTCACTTTGCCTCTGCATTTCTACCCAGGGCTGGCAAGAAAGAACAGACTGAGCTAAATCTAGCTTGAGACAAGAAACAGGAGCTGCAGGTGATCCTCCCTGCCCCCAGGGAAAAATATGAGCCTTCAGCTGCCTGGTAAAGGCAGACCAGGGGAAAGAACTCTGGGCCCCAGCTTGTAATTTCTACTGAAGCCCAAGCGAGGACAAAGCTGGAAAGGACAAGAGGACAGGATGTGCAGACAAACTGTAGTATCTGTGGGCATGAGACCTGCTATCAGAGCGGCATTTCCTCTTCTGCACAGAGCACATTTCTCCGAGGGTCGTGCATGCGTATTGCCTGGGAAATCATCATTCACTAAGCATATCTGATTGGGCCAATTCACCTTCTCTTCCGAAGGTAATTTTCAGCGATGGAGGAGTGAATCCCTTGAAACTCATCCCTCATGGACAATGTGTTTGCATTATCCAGCTCCAGGTACAGCTGGATGCAGCCCCTCTGTGATGTTCAGCCCTGAAGGAGAGTTGGAGGTGGAGCCCTGTCACAGTCCACTCAACTCTGCAGATGCATGATGGTTCATTTGCTGCGATCTCGAAGTGTAGAAGAAAATCCAAAAGGGGAGTTTTGCTTCAATCAAACAGTGAAACTTTATTGTTTTCCCATAAAGGGATAGGTAAAAGTGTGACAGGAGAGGTAAAGAGGGGAAAGAGAGTAATAGCTACCACCACGGGTCCAAGGCGTCCCTGTGGTCCCAGGTCCATGTGGTAACCCACTGGTCCTTCCAATCATTGTGATCCTCGGTGGGGAAAGCTTCCCAACTTCAGTTGCTAAGAAGCCTTCTTTTATGCCAGGTGATGCACTTTGCTCCTCCTCTGTCCCATGGACTCCTGCCAATCTCCACCTTCCTCCTGCCAATCTTCGCCATCTCGAGTGAGGCTACCATGGATGCCCAGAGAGGAGTATCCGAGGCGTGGTCTGCCTTAGAGGCGGGGAGCTTTTGGCCAGGAGATGTGTTTTCATATTATAATGATCAAAGGTCACCCAAGTCCGTGATTTCTTCAGCAGTGCTGAGATATCGATCTTCCTTAACAATAGCTAGGCAGTTTAATTTAGTAGATCCGACTCCTCCAGGTAGTGCAGAATGGCACTGTACACGGCACAGTACTGGACACTTCACAGCACAGTACACTTTATGCCATGCAATTCTGGCTCTGTTCCAGGGTGTCTGCACCTTTGTATCCATAGGACCCACATTCCATTCCAGGGATCGGCTACTACTTCTCAGGTAGGCCACTGCAGACTCTTGTCAAGATGTTAGCCTAAGTTTTAGGGTACCTGATTGTCCAAGTCTCTGATGTCCAAGGTTGAGACAATATTCCTCTTCTGACCAACTCTTACAAGCCCAGTGGGGAAGAAATGAGGGAGAGTAGACAGAGAGTTACCTGTTGTCACAGAATTTCTGCAGCTTCCTGACCCTCTTGCTCTTTTGGAACAGACCCTCAGATCCCTACCTCCTACTGGATCTGTTCTGCAGCACTATATGGTGAGCACCTCACAGCCAGGCTCTTCAGAGCTTTGGCCACTGCCGTTTAGTGCTCTGGCTAAAGACAGTTCTCAAGGTTGTGGAAGCCCTGGGGTCATGTCCTGATCCACTCCATGCTTCTGCCTCAAGGATGTGAGCTGGGCAAGGGGGTACAGATCTTTTTCAGCTCCCCAAGGCACAGCAGACTGGAGACAGTTACTATCAGAGTGGGATGGGTCAGCCTATCCCTGGAGTCCAGCCCCAGTCCCACCATCAGCAAGAGAGGTGCACCCCCCTAGTCTGTGGGACCAGAGTGTGCTGAGGGTTCTGGGCCCAGACTACAAAACTGGGCTCTGTCTGCATTGCTTAGTGCCTGAGACTCTATCCAGTGCCTCTCCCCGTTTCTCAGAGGGGGGATTCTGGGAAGTGTCTCCAGTGG